GAACAAAAGTCATACTTTCCTTAACCCTAATTTTTGTTTGATATTCCGTAACCCTAACATATGTTTGATATTGATGTAATGACACAACTGTTTTTACCTGTCTATATAAACTTATACTTTCCGTAACCCTAATTTTTTGTTAAAAAACCTTCACCGCCTCTACTCTCTCTCTCTTAAACGGTGGTCTTTCCTCTATTGCCGGTAAACTCCGCCGCCTCTCCTCCGTTTCTGCCGATTCTTGAAGGAGTAAGTATTTGTTCTTCATTTTTATAACTCATCCTCCTTTCTTATCTGTACTTTATATATCACTTATTTATGGTCTTCTTATGGTTTGTTGCAGATCTGACCCTTCGTCGTCCTCATATAACCTCCTTTCGAGCCGGTAAACTTTAACAAATATTCCCTCTTTCTCATCTCCTTTTATCTTCTTACATGTCTTTAACCGTTTATTCACATTTGTTTCTCTCTTATTATTCCAGATCTAAGTCACACTTCCGTCACAATAAGTTTTTTGTTCTTGTTGTTAATTGTTCTTTGTTCGATAATAGACTTGAAAAAGTATATGTAGACTGACAAAGAAGTCTACTCGGTGAACTGACAAAGAAGTCTACACGGTAGACTGACAAAGAAGTCTACACGGAACAGAATATAATTGTTTTTCAATAATAACACGAAATTGCATATTTAATGAGTTATTGTTATATGGTCATCAGGGATGGGTCAATACAGCTACTCACAACCGTCAAGTAGTTCCATAAGGAGTGAGAGTTCAACAGTTGTTATTGCGGTTTAGTGCCAGTTATCAAAACATCCACTACTGCCGACAATCCGGGTCGGAGATTCTATGGTTGTCATAACCATGCGGTAATGAATTTTGTAACTATTGTTTGTTTGCTATTGGCGTTTATATATAAATTTATAATAGCAATTAATTTTGTATATAGGATGGTTTGTACCATATATTCAAGTGGTGGGATGACGCTATAATGGAAGAGTTTGAAGAGATAAAGGTGGTGGTGGAACAACAAGCTGATTTAATTCGTTACTTCAAAAGTAACCAGAGCCAGGCCATACGGGATTGTGTTGATAAACCAACGATTCGGCATTGCATTCAGAAAACAGATATAGAGCTAGCCCAACTGAAGGAGATGATTATTGAGACTCGTTACAGAAGCGTCGAGATGAAGAATGTGATGGTAGTGTGTCTAATCCTCATATGTGTGATCAGTTGTGTTTGTGTTTGCTTGGGAGGATTTTAGTGTATTATTAATTTAATTACTGCATTATTAAAAATAGTTATTCYGTGACCCTCTAATTTTGTATGTCTGAAAGGGTTTAATTG